CGTGGTCAGCGCAACGGATCCCATGCCCGTTAATCTCGGTTCTCTAGACCGGAGCCGCTATTTCCTTGAAATAGCTCCTCAATTATCCTCACGAAGCTGAGGGGACCACGTTCCAGACCCACTATTTCTCATAAAATCTGGTAGCGCCAGAAATCGAACCCGGGAACTCTAGATCTGTAGCCAGAAACCCTGACCACTAGACCACAGAAGTTGGCACTAACTTCGTTGACAAGCGGCGGTCGCTAGGTCGGTATAGTTCGCTTGTAGACTACAGGCCACGGAGTTCCTTGTGAAACCTGCCTTGTCAGCGAAGATGACAAGGGTGATAGAGGATCTTCAACACACTATCGAAGACACCACTGGAAGTTTTTTTGACATAGGCGAAAATCCAGCGGATTTTGAGCTTATACCCCTTTCATATGGAATGGGAATGTTCATGGTAACCCACCAAACGCAGTGCGCGCCGCATGTTCGGCAGAAACCTGGTACGGGGGTTCTCCTCTGCGAGCCTCAGTATGCGCTCGTCCACATCAACTGTTCCCGTATTTCTCCGTATTCCGCGGTCTACCGCAAAGGGGCGAACGGTACCGGTCACCCTGATGCGGCGATCAATGGCGTGACACGTGCGTGGGTACAAAGTCTAAGTTGAAGATACCTTTCCGTGTGAATCCTTACAGCTCTTATACCATTACGAATCGAATGCACACTGGCATATTCTCGGAATACTTTAAGCACAGATTTACAAAGCATTTTTATATCTGTATGATTCTTCTTGCCGGTCACGGTAGCCGAACAGTTTGTGGCATGCACTGTCTTCGCTCGCTCGGAAGCTGGGATCGTGGGTTCGGATCTGTTTCCTGTGAGGTACGAACTGAATTCTTATATATTATTCTTATACACTGCCGGTCACGGTAGCCGAACAGTTTGTGGCATGCATTGTCTTCGTTCGCTCGGAAGGGAATGGGTTCGAATACCACTCAGGACATGGATGTTTGGTGTTTATGTGTGTGTGTGCGTTTTTCTGTGTTTGTGTACAGGTAGAGGCCTTGCGACGAACTGATCACCCGCGCAGGAGCCCTACCGAATGTCTGAGATCTAGTAAATCGAAGTGAAATGGAGAGTTTCATGGAGGTAGCCCAAGGCCCAAATTTGGGCTGTAGCGCCAAAGCAAAAAATATTCTTAATGGGATGAGACTAAGTGCCTTGTACTGCGGCCACTACTGGCCTATTGTACCAGCCCTAGACGATAGATGACGCTGACTGTGGAGCAATTGGTGGAATGAAGATTGGAAGGTGAAACCGAAGCAGTCGGAGAAAATCTGCCCCAGCGCTACTTTGTCCACCACAAATCCCACAAGACCAGATCGGGGCCGCCGCGGTGGGAAGCCAGCGACTAACCGCTTGAGCTATGACGCGACCCTGACTTAACAAAGTAATTATAACATTGCACGTGTAGTACAATGGAAATTTATGTCTGTTGTCACATGCCAGTTTGTGTACGTGGTCAACTCACTATCACTATAAACACGACAAGTGTATGTTCTGTTCTAGAAAGGGGAAGACGGTACTGATAAAAGACAAGTAAACATTCGCATCGCCCACTCTAAACTCCAGTTCCGTTTAAAAATAACCCCAGCATGTATGCCTTTTGTAACCAAATTTCTAATCATACTGTTGCAGGAACGTCTTCGAATGGATCTAGTTCGTTACCGAAACAGTGAGGACTCGTGTTTATGTAAAGTGTTTTCACTGTTTTTGAACACAGTGCGCACTCTCCAGCTATCTGTATTTCTTCGTGGGGAAACCTGTATATTTCATGAGAAAAGTCAAAGGTCACATCTTAGGATGTCTCTTTGAACAAGAAATTTTTATATGTACCAGCAAAACAAAAATGTCGTCCGTAAGATAAAAACTGAAACACAATAGCAGAAAATGTGAACAAAAGAGCTCTTCGAATGAAGAACCGATTACAGATGGCCTCAAGATAAGTAACAGGGCTACTCGTAGCTTGATGTACGTGTCAAAAGCTCCACTAAACAAAAACAGAATCTTACATAAGAGTATAACTTATACGGGAGCCGGGATAGCTCAGTCGGTATAGCGACTGGCTATGGACTGGACAACCGAGGGGTCAGAGTTTGAGTACCGGCAGGGTCAAGAATTTTCTCTTCTCTACGTCGTCCAGACCGGCTCTGGGACCCACCCAGCCTCCTATCCAATTTGTACTGGGGGTAAAGCGGCCGGGGTGTGAAGCTGACCACACCTCCAACCAGTGCCGAAGTAAAAAAAAAATGTAATCTATACATCCATTCCAAAATACGCCTTCAGGGTTTAGCGCTTAATTAGCTGAGCACAGTATAAGTATATGAGACTGAGGGTGTTTGAGAACAGGGTGTTGAGGAGAATATTTGGACCAAAGAGAGATGAAGTCACAGGAGGTTGGAGAAAACTGCATAATGAGGAGCTTTATAACTTGTACTCTTCTCCAAGTATAGAATGATGAAGTCAAGGAGGATGCGGTGGGCAGGTCATGTAGCACGAATGGGGGAGACGAGGAATGCGTATAGGATATTGGTGGGAAAGCCAGAAGGAAAGAGACCACAGGGAAGACCAAGGCGTAGCTGGGTGGACAATATTAGAATGGATCTTAGAGAAATAGGATGGGATGGTATGGATTGGATAGATCTGGCTCAGGATAGGGACCAGTGGAGGGCTCTTGTGAACACGGTGATGAACCTTCGGGTACCATAAAAGGCTGGGGAATTCTTGAGTAGCTGCAGAATTGGCGGCTCCTCAAGAAGGGCTCAGCTCCATGAGTAAGTAAGTATGTACAAGTATATGAATGTACACAATAAAGTGAGATGCTTTTGGTGGAAAAGTAGCCGATATTTACACTTGATTTTGAGTCCGATATAAATACATAAATGTATTTTATTGCGGGTAAAGCTAAAGTTGTCCCTGTGCCTAACTAATTAAAACTCTACACCATGAAGGCGTATCGGGGGATTTGTACAAATCGCGGACCGGTTTGCACCTTGCGAAATTTCCAATTGATGCGGAGAACCATGTTTTGCAGGCGCTGCAATTTTAAGAGGTAGGTGGCTGCCGCAGCCGATCAGAGTGTCCGCGCGGTCTAAGGCACGAACCGTCACATACACAGCTCCCCGTGGTGTTATGATAGTGCGTTCAGCTAGGTGAAAACTTCGCAACACCGCTGACCCGGCCCAACATTCCTCACAGATTGTTACTGTAACTGCTGATAGCAGAATGAGTCATTAGCGCTGATAAACGCGCGCCGTTACAGTTACAGCAGCAATCTGTGAGGCATATTGGGCCGGTCAACGGTGTTGCGAAGTTCCTCCTTGATTGAACACCCTGTACTATGCTGTAGCGGAGCTGTTCTGTGTGGAGGCAGCGGCCTTGCGACGGGCTGATCGCCTCCTGATCGTCCTACCGCTCTGTAAAAGATTAAATAACTGAAAAATTGGCTAAGGCCCAACAAAGGGCTGTAGAGCCCGTGATCAATGAGTGAATCTGCTATAATATGATTATCAACATTTTAGTTATAACGCGACTGATTTTTTTTCTTGGCACTACAGCCCCAGTGGGCCTAGGCCTACCTCCATGAACTTCTCCGTTCACTTTGGTTTTTCTAGATCTTAGACATACGGTAGGACTCCTTGGGCGGGTGATCAGCTCGTCGCAAGGCCTCTACCTGTACACAAACACAGAAAAACGCACACAAACATCCATGCCGGCTTCCGAGCGAGCGAAGATAGTGCATGCCTCAGACCGCTCGGCTACCGTGAGCGGCAGTGTATAAGAATAATATATAAGAATTCAGTTCGTACCTCACAGGAAACAGATCCGAACCCACGGTCCCGGCTTCCGAGCGAGCGAAGACAGTGCATGCCTTAGACCGCTCGGCTACCGTGACCGGATGACTGATTTTAAGTGCCATAATTTTTATTTTCTTGACTGAAATTTTCAGGCTATGCATCATACTAGTACTGTTAAAGCCATAAACTGAAAGCTGTCATTTATCTTCACTTACTTGGTCACTCGCGAACAGTACCGTATTTAAGTACTGACCTTGTCTTCTAATTCCGATGTCAATTAAGACTAGGAGCACTATTTTCACATAAACGTACAATTGTGTTCTCGTTCGATATGGTGCAATTTAAATAGCACTTACAGATTACATAAGACAATGTATGTACACACTCACAGGGCTACGTCCACAGTTATCGAAAAGACTGAAGGTCATAAGGTTCGAAAACGCGCTGTAAAACACAACGTTAGTAATATCCCAAGCTTCTAGCCTACTGGATGAGATAACAGGCAATGCTAGACACATCGACTTCCTTATCATTCTGACTCCAACCATCCTATCACAGAGAATATTCGTTTGATTTTTTACGTCCAATCTTACAATTTTACTGTATAACTAAAAGTTAAAACTGATAAAATTAAAATGCATTTATAAAGTAACGTCAACAATAAATAAAATGATGAAGAAAGATGATTGAAAGAAATTTACATCACGCAGTCGTCAGGAAACAAAAATTCAAGACCGTCCGTCTTCTCTTGTTTTATTCTGTTTAGAATGATCAAGTCAAGGAGGATGAGGTGGGCAGGTCATGTAGCACGAATGGGGGAGAAGAGGAATGCATATAGGATACTGGTGGGAAAGCCACAAGGAAAGAGACCACTGGGAAGAACAAGATGTAGGCGGGTGAATATGGATCTTAGAGAGAATGGGATGGTATGGATTGGACTAATCTGGCTCAGGATCGGGACCAGTAGAGGGTTCTTTTGAACACGGTAATGAACGTTCGGGTTCCATAAAACGCTAAGAAATTCTTGAGTAGCTGCAGATTTGGCTTCTCCTCAAGAAGGGCTCAGCTAATAAGTAAGTACAGCGTTATCAGTCTAGTCCCATTGCGCATGCGCGTTATTATAAGGAAAGTAATCAAATCTACACTGATGTCCCAACGTACCTGTCAGCCATCCGCCGATGAGTGAAAACATCCAAGCAGCGGCGATTGTTGAGGACACGATACATTCATGCCATTCTGTAGACAGCTTGAATTCATCCCTGCCACAAAGAGAAATCACATTTGAATATGTTCACTCACAACTGACTCCAAACCAAATCCACACGATCCAACCATCCTCAAAAGTGTAAACAAAATTTAAAGGTAAATTGGTCTAAATGTCGCAAATACTCTGCTATTCATTTGGAACTAACAAAGAACGCCACCACGCGATCCAACACAAGAGCGATATGAATCAAGTTCGCATCTACACAGTTGATTTCCTTAAGATATGTCTCCAAAATTACCTCTCTCCAAAAGCTATCCACCCAAAATAGTTTAAACACTTTTTGTTTCTTGTGCAGCCATTCTTACTTTCTGTATAATTAATACAAAACTCCGTGGTTTTAGTCCGCAAGAGAACTACACCGACCGAGCGACCGTCGCTTATCGGTGAAGTTAGTGTCAACTTTAGCGTATAGATGGTGTCGCGTGGTCAGCGCAAAAGATCGCACGGCCATTAATCTCGGTTTTCTAGACCGGAGCCGCAATTTACTTGCAAAAGCTCCTCAATTACCCTCACGAGGCTGAGTGGACCCTGTTCCAGACCCGCTACTTCTCAGAAATTCTGGTAGCGCCGGGAATCGAAACCGGACCTTTGGATCTGTAGCCAGGAACTCTGACCACTAGACCACAGAGGCGGTTAAAGATTTTGAAACTGGTTATCTTCCGCCGGGAGAGAGGCCGATACGTGGCTCCCAGTTTTTCCTGAATAATGACTTGCCTCTCATAATTATTGGCTTAAATCTATTCTAATTGACGATTAAAGTCTTAACACATACTCTAATTGAAAAAAAAAATGGTTGTGAGGATACAAACTCTATTGAGTGAGACGAGCGTCCAGTGACGGAATTCATAGTTATCATTTTAAACTTTTGACCTTTACTATCGGAGTTATTAATCTTCAAATTATTACATTCTCTTTTTTTAACACATTCTAGAATCAGCCTTTGTTATCAGAAACCGAAAGTTCAATGTCGTCAAAAACAAAGTCCGCTACTGTACACAATCCATCTTCCATTCTTGCAACCTATTTTCTGATATGAATATTAATCTGACGTCCCTCTATGTCCTTCCTGTTTTTCAAGCGACTATTCATCAAAAGGCTTACAAACAAGAATACTGCATTCGTCTCGTGCATGCGAACCATATGTGCACCCCACCGCAACCTGCATTTCACATCCTCGACAATTTTAGGCAAATTACGTGAATCACGAAACTCTTATGTTAGTCAATATCTTCATTTCCAGCTTAATTTATCTTGCTGAAGTCCATGTTTCTCTTCCTGAGGAATTTAATTTCAAACATTCGTCATTTATGTCAGATCTGGGCTCCTCACGGTACATTGCGCTTGGTCCTTGATGGCTACTTGCTTGGCTTAATCTTCGACGCTGAAGACGGAGGCAGTACATTCCTCCGAAACACAGGTCAACTTCTACTCGACTACCCGGCGCTATATTCCAGAATATAGAGCTCTTCACTTATAATCTATGTTCTCTCCTCAAAACATGGGACCACGCTTTGCGACTACTGTCATGGCGTTATTCAGGGGGTCGGACCCAGCCAGAGATTTCATACTTACTAAGAGAGCTGGGCCCTTCTTGAGGATCCGCCACTACTGCAGCTACTCAAGAATTTCCCAGCATTTTTTGGAACCCGAAGGTTCATTGTCGTGTTCACAAGAGCCTTCCACTGGTCCATATCCTGAGCCAGATCAACACAATCAATATCATCGTATCCTATCTCTCTTAACATCCATTTTAATATTGTCCACTCACTCACGCCTTGGGCTTCTCAGTGGTCTCTTTCCTTCTGGCTTTCCCACCAATATCCTATATACATCCCTCTTCTTCCCCATCCGTGCTACATGCCCTGCCCCACCTCATCCTTCTTGACTTGATCATCCTAATTATAGTTGGAGAAGAATACGGAGATTTAAGGCCGCGCCACAGCTCAAGCGGTTAGTCGCTGGCTTCCCACCGCGGCGGCCCGGATTCGATCCTGTGTCTGGTCAAGTGGGATTTGTGGTGGACAAAGTGGTGCTGGGGCAGGTTTTCTCCGAGTACTTCGGTTTCCCCTGCCAATCTTCATTCCACCAATTGCTCCACAATCACCCTCACCTATCATCTGGGGCTGGTAAAATAGGCCAGAAGTGGCCGCAGTACAAGGGACTTAGTCCCACCCCACTAGCAATAAAAAAAAAAAAAGAATACTGCCGCCTATTGGCGAAGTTAGTGCCAACTTTACCGGATAGAGAGCGTCACATGGTCAATGCAACGGATTACCACGGCCGTTAATTTCGGTTTCCTAGACTGGAGCCGCTATTTCTTTAAAATAGCTCCTCGATTATCCTTACGAGGCTGAGTGAACCTTATTCTAGACCCACTACATCTAAGAAAATCTGGTAGCGCCGGGAATCGAACCCGGACCTCTGGATCTGTAGCCAGGAACTCTGACCACTAGACCACAGAGGCGGTCCATTCCAGGCATCAAATTTATTAAATCCTTATTGCTCGATAATGTATAATTTCCTGTCCACTCATACGAAACATTATAGTAGAGGGCTCTCCATTTTTGTGTTAATGGTCGGCAGTGCTCCAGAAGTAAAGTAGAAAGGGTTTCCAGAACTGGTTGGACATGTTGTCCACGCGCAAGAGGGATTGCCACAACCAACGAAATTCACTTCATGCACTTGGAATATTACATGTTGGATTAAGGCCTAATGGAGCACACACTTGCGCAGATTCCCTCAAACATTTCAGGAATTATTTTAACAAATACAGAAATTCAGAAACCGATACGAAGGTCTCACACTATGAAAACTGAGGCTCCAAAGGCGGAGACTATGAGTCAGACTGTTTTCTGAGATGTCACGTCGTGTAGTTTGAAAAAAAAGTTCGACGACGTTTCGGAGGAACGTACCGCTTCCATCTTCACAGGAGAAGGGTACGAGTAATGGTATACCTCGAAGATGAAGGCAAAACGTTCCACCGAAATATCGGTAAACCTTTACCAAACCAAAGCACACATAAGTCTCACTACAAGAGCGTGGAAGTATCAATCAAATAAATATTAAAATCTTCCGGGACATAACATGTATTCGCTGAAAGTCACCTCCATCTTCAGGGTCCAGAAACCAACGTGAGAACAGGTGGAAAGCAGAGTATCAATCAAAGTGTTTCCTGTATTATCAAAATTAAGTGGTAAAATAACTTTCAATTGTGTTATTGCCTCTGTAACCGTTGTGAGAACAAAAGGCAGTCATGCCTGCTGACTCAGATTATGCAACACTACTTACGACTGGCTATTTTCAAATCGCCGCTTCCCACGACCATATACAAATGAACTATCCACGTGCACTATACGGCCTTCATTCTAGTGTGGCAGGATATGAAACCGAGAGAACATAAGCGATGGTCTATTACAAAGAATAGACAGAGCGTAAAACTGTTTCGTTATTGAATCACATGGACGGAAGAAATATTTTACGTTATTTTGAGCGAGGGTGACTAAACACTTCATACTTATGTAACAACGAACAAAAAATTCATATGGAGTACTTAAAGTGAAGGACACATACACAGAATCCATCTGAAATAAACGTCTTCCTTTCTGGGAAGGGGACCGCCTCTGTTGTCTTGTGGTCAGAGTTTCTGGGTACTGCTGCAGAGGTCCCGGGTTTGATTCCCGGCGCTGCCAGATTTTCTGAGAAGTAGTGGGTCTCGAATGGGGTCAACTCACCCTCGTGAGGATAATTGAGGAGCTATTTCAAGGAAATAGCAGCTACAGTCCAGAAAACCAAGATTAACGGCCGTGGGGATTCGTTGCACTTACCATGCGACACCCTCTATCCCCTAAAGTTGGCACTAAAATTCGCCGACAAGCGGCGGTCGCTCAGTCGGTACAGTTGGCTTGCGGACTACAAGCCACGGAGTTTTTTGGTTTTGTTGTCACTATACACTTCATACTTATGCATCAACGAACAAAAATTTATATGGAATACTTAAAGCGAAGGTTACATATACAGAATCCATCTTAAATAAATGTATTTCTTTCTGAGAATGGCATCTCAGTGTCATACTTACTTACTCATGGAGCTGAGCCCTTCTTGAGGAGCCGTCAATTCTGCAGTTACTCAAGAATTTCCCAGCATTTTGTGGAAACCGAAATTCATTGCTGTGTTCACAAAAGCCCTCCACTGGTCCCTATCGTGAGCCAGATCATCCCCATCTTAGCCCTAAGATCCATTTTAATTATGCCCACCCACTTACGCCTTGTTCTTCCCAGTGGTCTCTTTCATTTCAGTTTTCCCACCATATCCTATATGCATTCCTCTTCTCTCCCATTCGTGTTACATGTCCTGTCAATCTCATTCTCCTTGATTTAATCATTCTAATTATACTTGGAGAAGAATACAAGCTTTGAAGCTACTCAATATGCAATTTTTCTCCTACCTCCTGTCACTTCATGTCTCTTGGGTTCAAATATTCTCCTCAACACCCTCTTCTCAAACACCCTCAGTCTATGTTCCTCACTTCATGTCAGAGACCAAGTTTCACACCCATACAGAACAGGAAAAATTATACTCTTCTTTTGAACATTTTTGTAACAAGCTATTTTTTACGGTGACTTTTTAGCCCTACGTCCAACACCCCCAGCTGGAGGACCACCCCTTGTTCACTGTCCGCGACTGCTTATTCGATATATTCGCGGTGTCCCTCCATACCTGGAGGGCGTCTCTTCTATCAGCAACCTGAGGACGCGTCATGCCGTCGAGACAAGGGTCCCACCAAACACGGTCTCCGTTTCAGACTGTCAAAGAATCCCATATCATCATATTTCCGTAAATGTTTCGTTATGAAGCGAAATCAGTCTCATCTTCTAGGGCTTCGTGACAAAGAAAGAAAACTGATAATTGTAAAAATACGTTTAACTGCAGATCCCTCCATTGCATTATGTGTATAGAATGATCGATAGGTCGCTGTGTCTGGATATTCTCAAT